CTTCGGGGGCGCCCCCGACTGGCAGAAATCGGGGGCGCTCCCGATTGGCAGGACCTCGGGGGCGCCCCCGACTGGCAGAAAGCGGGGGCGCCCCCGACTGGCAGGACCTCGGGGGCGCTCAGACTGGTAGAATCATCGGGGGCGCTCCCGACTGGCAGGGCTGACTGGACTGAGACTCAGATACCCCCCTGCAGGTGCAGACTGGAGCGGGAGGAGGACCAGGAGGGGGAGGAGGGGGACGGGGAGGGCGATGATGAGTTGTTGTTTCCCAGCGCGCGTGCGAGGGCCTATCATAAGGCCACCGCTGACTCGTCGTAAGGAAGCGCGTCAGTGGCGCAACAAATTACTGCCCTAGGTCCCAAGTGGCTTGCTATGATTATGTCACGGCTTCTCGGCGGCATCTATGGAAGCCTTCAGGAAGCGCTGGATGACCGTCTTTGTAAACCCATTGCCGATCATGTTGCCGAGGCTGTGATTGGACGCATCTGAAAAATCCATGTCAGCTATCTCATCGGTGGCGAAGCCTTGCAGCCGCATCATCTCCGTACAACTCAAGCGCTTCGCCGTCTGCAGGTCCATGTACGAGAGGCCCTTGCACCTGGTCGCCGTGAGACACGGCGAGTAGCCGATTCCCATGTTGAGTTTTGAGCTGCCCATGTCGATGATGGCGCCGTAGTCCGTCGCCAACTTCCCCTCATTTGCGGCCATGGCATTGGTGATCTGCGAAGCTTTGGAGATGTGCCCCTGAACCATGGGGCTGAACATCTCCAGGGGGTAGTTGTTGTAATTCGCGAAGGGCGGTCGCGGCTGGTCGTGGATGATGCCCAACTCCAAGTGCCCAACGCCCGCCGGCCCCTCGAATGTCACACATCTCCGGCCCATTCGCTTCACGGCAACGATGTAGATGCGCTCTCTGCTCTGCGGCGCGCGCCCGACGTCCATCGAGTTGAGAGTCTTCATATACACGTCGTAGCACTGTTCTTCGGTCACATTGTCGATGATGGCCTCGGGCTTCTTCACGATCGTGGTCAGTGTGGCCTCGTGCTTCTGAGCCATGCCTTTCACGTTCTCCAGCAAGATAATGCGCGGCTGCTGCTTCTTGATGTATGCAATGATGTGTATGCGCACGGTTCCGCGCGGATCTTGGGTGCCTCCGTGACGGCCAGCTAGGCTGAAGGGTTGGCAAGGGAATCCGGCCGTGAAGATGTCCACGTAGGGGGCCGAGTCCACGAAGCCACGCGAAACGTCAGTGTCCCCCTGGCCTACTTCCACGTTTGCCCTCAGCCACGCCTGACAGGACATGACGCACTGGCACCAAAACTCGAACTCAAAGTTGCGAGACTTGATCACATTCAATGCCCAGTGGTCTGTCCCCATACCCGAGCAGACCGAGCCCACCTTGATGCAAGAAGGCAAGGAGAAGCAACAGTGAGCCCCTGGAGTGTAAGCGGCTGGCTTTTGAACATGTTTACTTTTGGCGGGCTTCCTGATGAGCTTCCGAGGCTTCGATGGGTTAGCTTTGGCGCTGGCCTTTGCCCGAGTCTTGCCTCGAGCCCGTGCATTGCCGCGCGCTGCAAACACGGCTGAGCCCCAGTCCATGTTCATATCGTCGTCGCCGCCGGTGGGTTACCCGCGCGGCGAACCCTGACAGCAAAGTATCGCGATACTCTGACAGCAATGTCCGGCAGAAAGATTGAGCCAAAGTGGCTGCGGATGGGGGGGGGGGGGGGGATTCCCAGGGAGCCTGAGCAGGATTTCTCGAGGCCTTGCCCCCAAAGGACTGTTTTTTCGGGGTCGCAATTTTGGCCCTCGGGGGGCCCGCGTCGCCGCGGCTGGGCGCAGCTCGGAAAACTGGTTGCATATCATTCTTGTGAATGCGGTAAGCATTGTGTAAGCATTGTAATCCTCCCCCTCCTCCTCCTCCTCCTCATCATCATCATCATCAACGTCATCACCCTCATCTTCCCCCCTCCTCCCTCGCCCCGCCCCCCCCCCCCCTCCTGCTCAGAGGGCTTGGGGTTGCCGTTCGGGGGCGACGACGACGACGAGGAAGAGGGGGGGGAGACAGAGCGGCGGCGCTCGGCGGCGCCTGCGTAGTGAAGATGGGCACGAAATATCGGCGTCGTCGCCGTCGCCGCCGCCGCCGTCTCCGTCGCCGTTGCCCTCGTCCACCCCTCCCTCCATCGCCCCTTCTCCTTGATGCGATTCCTCGTTCCCCTCGGCCCCCATCGGATTGGCGCTGTGTGTTCTGTTCGACGGCGACGACGAGACGACGACGACGACGACGACGATGACGAGACGACATATCCCACCAGCCCTCTGGGCGTAGGTGGTCTAGAACAGATCCTCTCCCCCCCCCCCTCTTCCCCCTTTGGGGGGGGGGGGGGGGGGGGGGGGGCTTGCCCGCCCCCCAACCCTCCCCAGGGCCTTGGGCGGAGGGTTCGGGCGGCTCTTTTGGCCCCAAGATGGCTTCAAGAGCGCGTCAGAGAGCCCAAGATGAGCTCCAAGATGGCTCAAGATAGCGCAAGATCGCTCGAGATGGCTCCTAAGATGGTTCCAAGAGGCCCAAAGACGGCCCCAAGACGGCTCCAAGTGGCCAAAGAGCTCCCCAAGGAGGCCCCGAAGAGGCCAAAATCGTCCCAAAACCTTAGGAAAATCAATGTGTTTTGCTTTCTCCCCGTTTCGCTTCCGATGGCCATCCAAGGCCTCAAGATGGCTCCAAGATGGCCCAAGAGGGCCCCACAAGAGGCCCAAGAGAGCCCCAAGGCGGGCCAAGAGCGCCCCAATCACGCCCAAGGGGCGATGCGTGGAGGCCAAATAAGGACCCCCCCTTCGTTGATCGATCTCCTCCTAGATGGCCCCAAGAGCGCCCCTACAGCCCCCAAGAGCGGCCCGCGAGCGCCCCAGGAGGCGTCCAGGCGGCCCCAAGAGGCGCCCAAGAGGCCTCCAAGAGGCTCCCAAGAGACCCCCAAGAAGCCTCAAGAGGATCTCCGAAATGCATTTAAGGCGCTTCTGGCTCTTCGGTTCGCCGTCCTCTTCAATTTCTCATTCCCTTCTTCCTCCCCCTCCGTCTCCTCCTTCTCCTCTTGGTCCTTCTCCTCCCTCTGCTCCTTCTCCTCCTTCTCGTCCTCCTCGTCCTCTCCCTACTCCACATCCTCCTCCTCGTTCTCCTCCTCCTCCTCTTCCTCCTCCCTCTTCCCCCCCCTCCCCCTCCGACGAGGATTCCTTCTCCGCCCCCCCCTCTTGGGGTGCGTGGCAGCTTCCCCCGCACTTTTTTTATTCTGCATGCTCCCCGACTTCCCTGAGCACCTCACCCCCCCTGGGCATCGTTTCTGGATGGGCTGGTGGGGATACGCGAAGCGTCGACAATTTCGCGCTCATCTTCACTACGCAGGCGCCGCCGGCGGCCCTGCCACCGCCCCGCCGGCGGCGACGGCGACGGTGTTGTTTAGTTGAATAATTTTTAGCAGGCGGCATCGAGGGCCCCTAGGATAATCTGTTTGTTGTTCCCAACTTCGCAGCATCAACCTACGGCCCAGTGGAAACTCGCGGCGCAGTTCCCTCGCGCACCCTCGTAGGCAAACTGTCCAGCGGCAGGCTAACTAACTGACTCACTCACTAACTCACTCACTCACTCACTCACTAACAAACTAACTAACTAACGGCGAGACTCACTAACTGTCCAGGCTTGCGAGCTTCGCGGCGAGGGCGCTCTGGGGGGCCCCTTTTTCCCCACTGGCTGGCCCGGCGGCGGCGCGCTTGACGCGGCCCTTGGGGGCAGTGTCGGGGCCATCACCGGCGGGGGGCTTCGGGCTAGGGGTCTCGGCGGCGGCGCCGCTGGATTTCTTCGCGATGATGTCAGCGAGGCCCTGGTCGAACAATGGGTGCGCTGGAGTGCGCATCAGCCTCAGCATGGTGTTCTGCATGAATTTCTCGAGCGCCACCTGGGGCCCACGACGACGACGACGACGACGACGGAGCGACGAGGACGAGGACGGGGAGAAGGAGACGAGGGGGGAGAGGAATATAAAATGATGATGAGAAGGAGGAGGAGGAGGAGGGGCGGGAGCAGGAGCAGGAGTCCCACCAGCCCTCTGGGCGTAGGTGGTTCTGGGAGTTCCCTCTTCCAACCTCCTTCATCCCCTTCGGGGAGGGGTTCGCCCCCCCCCCCTCCCCCCCCCTGGACTTGGACGGGGGGGGCCGCGTCCAAAGCGGCCTCGGCGAGGAAGCCAGAATCATCGGTTTTACTCAGGTTTTGGCAGATTTTGGAGGCCCCCGATGGGGGGGGCGCTAACTGGGGGGGCCCCCTTCCTTTGATCGATCACCTCCAAGATGGCCCCAAGAGCACTCCCGAGGCTCCCAAGAGCGCCCCGAGAGGGCCTCAAGAGGCGCCCAGGAAGCCCCAAGAGGCGACCAGGAGACCCCAAGAGGCCTCCAAGAGCCCCGCAAAATACCCCCAAGAGGCCCCCAAGAGGCCCCAAGAGGCTCCCACGAGGCACCCAACGGTCCAAGAAGCTCCCTGGCCCGCCAAGAGGCCCCCAAGACGCCCCAATAGACTTCAAAGAGTATCCCAAGAGACATCCCAAGAGACCCCGCGAGGCATTCAAGAGGCCTTTGACTCTTCTGATCGCCCTTATCCTTCTCCCCCTCCCCCTCATCATCACCATCATCATCATCAGCATCATCATCACCATCGCCATCGCCGTCACCATCGTCAAGACCACCACCATCATCGTCATCACCAGCATCATCAATTTCAACATCAACATCATGATCCGCCTATGCCTCCTCCTCCTCCTCATTCCTCCATCCCCGCCCTCATCATCCTCCTCTTCCGCCTCCGACTCCTCGTCCTTCCCCCCCCCTTGGGGCACGACGGCCTCCCCAGCCCCTTGTTCCTCTGTATGCTGCCCCGCTTCCATGATCACCTCTACTCGCCTGGGCGTCGTTTCTGGATGGGCTGGTGGGGATGCACGAAGCGTCGAGAATTTGCGTGGCCGCTACACCTTCTGGTCTTCCGAGTAGCACACTCCGAAGTAGGGTGCGTCCTCGATCAGCGAGTGAAGCGCGAGCGACCCGTTGCAACACGTGAGGTCGATATTGACCACGCCGTTCACTCCACTGGTCACCTCCTTGTACACTTTGATGTTCATGCCATGGTAGTTGAAAGGCACAGTGTCCTTGCCCCGTGGCCCAGGGTCGGCCTTGGCGTCGTCGCCGGCAACTGCCCCTCCAGCCAATATCCACGCCGAGTTGTACAAGGCCGCCTTCTCGTTCTGCTTCTGCATCCACGTGAGCGGATCGTTCTTCGGCGGCTTGTCGAAGTTGCCGATCACTGGGTCCTTGTTGGAGCCCTCGCTGTACACCTTCTTTTTCTCAGGGATGGGGTCACCTTTGCTGAACTGGAAAACGAACTCCATCGCGGGGGGCCCGTAGACTCCAGAATAGTTGCCCCTATGCTCCTTCAAGGACTTCTCGGTGGTCTGCAAGAACAGGATGCGCTTGTCCTTCTTGAAGGCCTTCCCGTCCTTGGTCTGAAAAGACTTGCCGAACTTGCGTTCGTTCCCGTGCACGCCACCGTCGAAGGCGCAGTAGACCAGGTTCGGGGGCAGCTCGTCTTCCGGCTGATCGTCCTTAGTCAGGGCAGCCAGCGATCCTTTGATCATGCGATCGTAGTGCGCATCCCTGAAGTGAACAATGCGGAGGCGCCCGCGCGCGTTCGGGTGCCCAGAAAGCTCGCGGTCATAGAAAACGACGATGTCCGATTCCTTGGCGAGCTGCATGTCGAGCCCCTCCCACCACGTGGAAAGCGCCTCTGACACGCCTGTTGAGGACTGCGGGTCCACGATGATCTTCGCAACCCTGGTGTACTTGTTATCCACGTAAAGTGCCCAGGGTTTCAGTTGCTCCTGCATGTCGGGGTCTGCGAGCTTGCTCTTGACGGGGTCCATCATCTCGTCAGCCTCGTCGCCATCGTCGGAGAGGAGGTCCTGCATTGTGACATCCACAGTGCTATCCTTCGGCACCGCGTCGCCCTCCGCCACGAGGGCAGTGTAGATGGCGTCGACCTTCTCCTTCAACGGTGACCTCTCGAGAACCTCACCCACCGGCGAGCCCTGGATCTTCTGCTGCTTGACCTGCAAGTCGAAATCAACTTTGATAACGCAGTCCTCGAACAGAGCGACGGCCAACTTAGAGGACTGCTTCAACGCGGTGCGCCAGGACACACCCTCTTCTTGCCAGCCTTGTACCCGACCATGGCGCGGTAGGCGTCGTGCCCGACGATCCACGTCTCCAACCTCTGGAGCGTCGATGCGCGGAGGCCCATGTCACGCATCTTCTTGATGATGCAGTGCCCGAGCTCGTTCTCGGCAACCAGCAGGTCTAACAGTCCCTTCCCTCCAGGGAGTCCGCGACCAGCCAGCTGGCGAAGGCTGACCTCGCCGGCCGCGGTCATCTTGGTCATCACCAGGTCCAGCAGCCCAGCCGTGCACCAGTGGATCAGGTTACCTGACTGAGCTCTCTTGACCACCGCCTCATACTTATAGATGCTATCGAATGGCGTAGTCCCGTTCGAGTCGGCCTCCACCACGATCTTCTGAGTCTGGTCGTTGTTCATGAGCCTAGCCCCCACGGTGAAGCAGGCGTCAACGTACGTCTCCGAAATCTTGGCTGAGCTCGGTGCGAGGTCGACCTTCTCGGCCCACATCTTCGCCGCCCTCTGTGCACCCACTTCGTGCCCGAGCGAGGTCTCGATCACTTCCTTGCTCTCCATGATGTCGAAGAACCTCTGCGTGGCCGTGCGCTTCACGGCGTCGCCCATAGCCGTGGTGTTCCCGCGGGACTTGTGAGCATGCCAGTAGGAGTCCATTCCTGGAAGGAGTGAAAGGACCCCGCCCCGCCCACCCACCCCCCGCTTGCAACGAAGCAAAACACCACAGGGCGCCATCAATACAGTGTTTGCGTGGATGAATCGTTTTCGGTGTCTGACAAATGAACAATATCAACTACACCTGATACCTATTCCACATAGTGGGGGATTTATCCTGGCGGTCCTGGATTGACCAGCACGAACTCCACTGGGAAGGTGATCAACCCGCGCTTCAGCATGGCCACCTGCTCCGGCGTGGGGCCAGTGTCGAGTAGCTTGGCCGTGCCCAGGATGACGGCCCAAATCATCTCAGGAGGAGAAGCCGTGACTAAGTTGCCGAACATATCCGAAACGTTCATAGTGGCGTCCACGACGCTGACCGCGGCAGTGAATGCCCCTGGGAAGGAGCCTCGGACACCGTTCTGGAAGACCACGTCGACCAGGGAGTTCAACTTGTTCAGGTTCGTGCGGGCACTTTTCGCGGGGTTGCCGTTCATGCCCAGCTGGAAGATGTTAAAGCCAACGGGGCCGTAGGCGTGAGTACTCGCCAGGCACGCTGCGCACGTATCATCGTCAAAGGGCGCGATCGTAGACGTCTCCAAGGGGTCCCTCCGCTCGCTCGAAGGCAGTGGTAGCGGCATGGCTGCGCCGACATTGCCCATGTCTGGATGGTTCGCGATCTCCTGTTTGGCTGCCACGATGCGGCTCATCAAGGCGTTGTTCATGTTCTGCGTGACCCCGCACGAGCTGCTCTGAGTCGCGGCTGGGATCTGCCTGGCTGCGCCGCGCGAGGACTGCGGCGACCCCCCCGAGGCCTCGCCGCCCTCCGCCGCCGACTCAGCGCCGCCAGCGACGAGGCTCCCACCCATCGAGGCGACAGTGTGAGCCGCCTGGCCTGTCGTGCCGAGCCTGGAGACCTTGCGCGGCGGCGCTGCCTCCGCCTCGGAGGCCTCGGCGGGCTCGACCTTCACCTCCCCCATCAGCCGGCGGCGGCGCCTCAGCAAAATGGGGTGCTGCGAGGCGGGGGGGCGGCGCCGCGGCCTCTGCGGCCGCGGCCGCCAGCGCCGCTGTCGCGGCCAGCGGCTGGCTTTCCGTCGGCGGCCTTTTTCCCCATGATGGAGGTGAGCAGCTGGTTTCGTGCAACTCTGAGATCTGAAACTTCTGAAAAATCGAACAAGTGCCAAAACGGCTAGAGCAGGAGGAGGAGGGGGAGGTGACGCGGGCTCTCAGACGTAGGATGCGCCGCCTCCCGGGCGACCCAAACGATACTTGCACTTGATGGGCACAATCAATATCGGCGTCTGCCCAACGCTGTACCGCGCCCACTGGTAGCCCAAACAGCACTTGCACAATCAGCACTTGTACTTGCACCGCCTCCCGCCCAGACAGTACTGAAATGTACCCAAACAGCACTTACCATACAATGATGTTTGCGTTACCAGTTGTCTTAGCTGTTGATAGTTGGTTGTCGTATGTGCTTATGCTTACTAGCTAACTGATGCGTTCATGCTCTTGATTGTCTTAGTTGCTCATGCTGCCATCTGCCATTGTGGTTTACGTTGCGTTTGCCTTCCAAGACAGTCGAATTTCTTTCTAATCTACGCCAGAGGAGGCCCTGGGGGTCCTGGATGGCCCGAAAGACTCCGCTCGACGACAGTACCGCAAGGCGTACGATATCACCAGACGATGACACGAGATCTATGTTACCTGAGCTGTTTCATGATGCGTTGCAATGCGCATCGCACATACAACCACGAACGATGTGTTGAACAAGCTGCGCATTGCCCGAATTCAAGGGCGCGCGACCATGCACCTAAGCCTACACACCTCGCGCACGCGCGCAGCATCACGGTTGGAAGCGCGCGTGCTACGACAAACTCAACATGCGAAGCCTGCGTGCGCGCTAGGGGTTGCCGCGGATGGGCGAAACCAAAACAGCATGCAGAGGCTAATTTTTCGGTGAGAGCGAGCACCGATTCGGTCAACAGCATCAGGCAATCAGCGCGGCTGCGCTTTCTTCCACATGCACGCTGCCCACAAGCCCTGATGGTCGATGGAATTGCAGGGCCTCTTTTCCACAACATGTGCCAAATACTGTCTATATGTCCAGCCGTCCTCGCTATTCTTCCAACGCCTTACCTGAGGGGCCTTATCATTCGTATCTTCCTCGGGGTCAGTGAGGTCCGCGATCATTCGCAAGTTAGCCGCCTCCTGAAACTTGTCCAGGGACAACGCGCAATCATATTCCCCGATAAGCAATACAGTCTTGTTACACCTGAAAGCGTGAACCACTGCACCCACAATATCGATTCTTCCATCCCAAAACGTTGTGCCAAAGAGCACCGATGTGTCACATGAGAGGATGGCCACCTGCTTCCTCCAACCGATAGGGTTTTCGTCGCTGCGTTCTTAATCTTGCTCATTACATCGTTTGGGTACCCACTCGAATGGCAACTCATGCGTTGGAGCCGTAATTGCCCAAGATCTGGATTTCTCGACTTCTTTGTTGATTTCTCCAATTGTGTTAAAATCTGTTTCCTTTCGTAAAGTTAGGACTGCCGCGTTTGGAAGCACCGCTCGAAGTGCACCCCAAACCATGGCGGAGTACGGGCCAAGTGAATGATCAACGTTTTCGTCTCGGAGAATTCGCTTATATTCTGTCGGGCAACAGATATTGCTCATGATGACCAAGCCACCAACGTCAACAGATGCCAAGTCCAAATCGGCCTCGCACGAAGTAAACGCGTCCAATATCTTGATCTGGCAACCCATCCCAATGAGCTTCAACATGTTGTGCTGCGCCTCGGGCCTTTTGGAGAAACTCACATCCGAAACTATGCAGGCCATGGCCTGGAGCGCGTACAATACTCTGACACTATCAAGGCCGGGCCAAAACGGCTGTGGACGTTTTTTTTTTTTTTTTTTTTTTTTTCTCTCTGCGGGTGGTTTATGTATGTGCTGGTTGTTTTTATGCGTTGTTTGTATATGTACCTCTGTCCCTATCTCTCTGTACATAACCTCCAACTCCTCCTCCGCCGAACCGCCGCCCCACGAAGGGGCCCGGCAAAGCGCGCAGTGGCGCCCCCGGCGCACCACTACAAAAATAATTCGGGGTGCCCGAAGGCGGGCCACTTTGGGCATCGTATGATCCTCCCCCGCCCCCTCCTTTAACCTCACTATCTATCTCTCTCTCTCTCTTTCTCTTCCTCTGTGTGTGTTTTGTGTATATATATATATACATACATACATACATACATACATACGTGCACGTGTGTCTACATATCGTTATTGTTGCTGTTGTCGTCACCACTTGTTGCTGTTATGTTTGGTGATGTTGTGTTTGCTGGTGGCGCGCACGCCACGCAAAACAAACAACGACGTCAACAGATACATCACAGAAACATCAAACACACAAAACAAGATCAACCCCTGAGTGTCGAGAGCGCGGCGTCTGAGTAAATTGCGATGGGGCTCGAACCCCACGTAAACTGCAAGCAAACTCGAGCAGGCGCGGATGTCTTGAATGAATTGTGAAGGCGTGTCGGGCGGGGGGCGTTACTAATACAAACCAGGAAACAACGCCAGGGCGCGTCTGCCGACCAGATGATGTAGAAGACGGTTGGGATGCTGTAGACGACAACTATGGGGGTGATTTTGTGTTTTGTGTGATGACGGCGATGGTTTGGATGATCATGGATGGTGGTGATGACGATGATGGATACGTTGTTGATGATATGGTGGTGATGGTGGTGGTGAGTTGTGATGGTTACGATATGTTTATGATGACGGCAGTGCTGATGATGAATATGACGAATGTGATGATGCAATGATGATGGTGGTTGTGCTGATGAAGTTGCTGATGGCGACGATGATGACGATGATGACGATGACAATGATGATAATGGTGATGATGACGACGACGAAATGATGATGACGCGCAACAACTGAATTCAAAATGTCTGTGGCTTTTAAGGAGGCCAACGGTGACACGTGTCACCCGCGCGCATCTGCCGACCATGACGATGTAGATATGATGACGACGATGGTTTGGATGATCATGGGTAATGATGGCAACGATGATGGAGACTATGGTGATGATGATGTGGTGGTGATGGCGGTGGTGGCGCTATAATAACGGTCATGGTGGTGATTATGAAGACGATGATGGAGGTGATGGTGCTGGTGGACGCGCGCGCGTGCGCGGCGGCGACCACCGACCGCCAAGGGCGGGAGACACCCCCCCCTGCTATCGCCAGCCAAGGCACGCGCGCGGCCCAGCGGGGGGGCCAGGGACGCAGCGAAACGAGAAGAGGCGCCATGAGATCTGGGGAAATAGCATGGCCCCCGCCACGATATCCACCCCCCCTGGTCGTCACCCCCCCTCTTCGCCGCCCCCGAAGAACCGCTCAGGGTGCAGAGCGGGCCTCCGGGCAGGGTGCCCGGCCTCCTGGGCTCACGTCGCGGGAGCAGTTGTGGCGTCGGGGCCTCGGGAGGGGGAGAGCAGCAGAAAGGGGGAGGGGAGGACACGGATGTGCGGGAGGCGCACGACGGGGGGGGGGGGCAAGAGGAGGAGGAGCAGGCGGGGAGCGAGGGGGGGCTGAGGCCGGGCTCGTCCTAGGCTTACATGGGCGGCTGCATCGGAGGAGGAGCGCCGACGGGTGGGTACACCCGAGTCCAGTCCACTAAAATTTGTGAAACCGTCGCGACGGGACAGGACATGACGGAAGCCGCCCCTCTTTCTCATGTCCTGCCTGCGGCTCAGGCATGCAAGGGATGTGTGTGTGTGTATGTGTGTGTGTGTGTGTGTGTGTCTGTGTGTGTGTGTGGTGTGGGGGGGGGAGTTCTTCACATGCGTAGTCATAGTCAGAGGCTGCATCCGCGCCGCGCCGTGCAGAGAAGAAGGCCACAATTCGCAGAAGCATGCGGACATGCTTCAATGGCACGCCCGAGCCGCTGCAAAGTCATCCGCGCATGCAAAGCGTGAAAAGGCTCCCACAGACGCGCATGCGGCCTACGTGTCACGTTCGAACTGCTCCTTTTCGAAAGGACTGCGAAGGCGCAGGGAACACAGCCCACTTTTCTAGCACGTCCCTGCGATTCCCTAGGGCAGAACGCTTCTGCCAATCCTCCGCTCATTCTTTCGTATCACTGACGCCCCGACCTTCACTACAGGTCGCAGGCCTAATACACAGACAGGTAGTGATTTGATTAAACTGGCGGGGGTGGCGATGGGGGGAAGGCAAAGGAAGCCTTCCCCCCCCGAGCGCCCACAGTGAGAAAAAAAACACCCTGGGCTCAGCTCAACATGTTGGGGGAACCGTCGCCAGCCAGGTTTGGTGTACTGCTGGCCGGATTCTCGCCGACACCGCCGAGGGTGCGCTTGCCGCAGGCCAGACTCTGTTGGCCAGTGCTCCAAGATAATGCGGCCAGCGTCTGCTGCCGTGAGTCTTCCGAGGCCGCCGAGGCTGGCGAAACAAGGCGGCTGAACTGCAGGTCGAGCGCGCCACCCAACCCTGCTCCGACCGGCCACGACTGTAGGAGCTGTGCTTCTTGCCCCCCCCCCTCCCGCCCTGGGAGTTGGTCGGGCGTGTCCCCCTGCAGAGGGATTTGCGAGGAAACATTGAAAATACCCCAGAAAAAAAACTCAAACACAGCCAAACAATGATCAAACAACTGTCCCCATACTATTTTCTGACTATTGCGAAGGCCTGACGGCCGGTGCCGCCGACCCGGAAGAGGACCACGACGTCGGCGACGAAGTGGGCGGAGACGGAGGCCGTGGAAGATGAGGAGGAGGAGGAGGCGAGGAGGAGGGGAAGGAGGAGGAGGAGGAGGAGGAGGAGGAGGAGGAGGAGGAGGAGGAGGGAGGAGGAGGAGGAGAGGAGGAGGAGACAGGAGGAGGGAGGAGGAGGAGGAGGAGGAGGAGGAGGAGGAGGAGGAGGAGGAGGAAGGAGGAGGAGGAGGAGGAGGAGGAGGGAGGAGGAGGAGGAGAGGAGGAGGAGGAGGAGGAGGAGGAGGAGGAGGAGGAGGAGGAGGAGGAGGAGGAGGAGGAGGAGGAGGAGGAGGAGGAGGAGGAGGAGGAGGAGGAGGAGGAGGAGGAGGCGGGGGGAGGAGGAGGGAGGAGGAGGAGGAGGAGGAGGAGAGGAGGAGGAGGAGGAGTAGGAGGAGGAGGAGAGAGGAGGAGGGAGGAGGAGGAGGAGGGAGGAGGAGGAGGAGGAGGAAGGAGGAGGAGGAGGAGGAGGAGGAGGAGGGAGGAGGAGGGAGGAGGGGGGGGAGGGGAGGGAGGAGGAGACAGGAGGAGGAGGAGAAGGAGGAGGGAGGAGGGACGCAGAGGAGGGAGGAGGGAGGAGAAGGGAGGAGGGGGAGGAGGAGGGAGGAGGAGGAGGAGGAAGGAGGAGGAGGAGGAGGAGGAGGGGAGGAGGAGGGAGGGAGGAGGAGGAGGAGGAGGGGAGGAGGAGGAGGAGGAGGAGGAGGAGGAGGAGGAGGAGGAGGAGGAGGAGGAGGAGGAGGAGGAGGAGGAGGAGGAGGGAGGAGGGGACGCAGAGGGACACGCCCGACTCAACCCCTTTGGGGAACCATCCGTCTGGACGGCCCCGCGAGAGGGGGGCGCCGGAGAGCCGACGGGTGCCCCCGGTGGTGGGCGGGGGGAACGGACCTCGCCGTCGCTCGGACGTCCATGTCTTTGGACCAAGGGCTCCCAGCTTCGCGCTTCGCGCTGCGCGAAGCGCGAAGTGCGAATAACTTCGCGCTCTCGCGCCTCCCCCCCAAAGGGAGAAAAGGAGGACAAGGAGGAGGAGGAGAGGGAACGAGGACCGCGAAGCGCGAAGCGCGAATAACTTCGCGCCCTCGAGGGAGCCCTTGTGGACGCCCGAAATGGGTACTGAAAGACGTGTCGGGAGCGGCCAAGAGGGGGGTGTCCAAGAGGGGCGGGGTGGCCAGGGACGCAATGAAATAAGAAGAGGCGCCCTGAAAGCTGGGGAAACATCATGGCCCCCGCCATGATATCCAACCCCCCCTAGTCATCGACCCCCTCTTTTCCGCCCCCGACCGCGGCTCCGAAATGGGCACGGAAAAGATGGGCACAATGCCCAACAGCAAATGTTGTCCCGAACCAAGAGCAACCGCTGTTGGGCAGGCGGCCTGCCGTCTCGAATGGACACAGGCCGCTGCGGCGCGGACAGCGAGTCCTGTTCAGAATGAACAGGATCCGCTGCTGGGCATTGTACCCATTCTTTCCGTGCCCATCTCGTTCGTGTAGAGGGTGGCCGGGGGAACGGACCTCGCCGTCGCTCGGACGTTCATTTCTGAAGGGGCCCCAGGACTCACAAATAAACACACACACAAGTAACAAGGTTCCGCACATTTTCCGATATTTTCTGGGCTTTTGTCTTCCCCCCCACTTCCCATAGTTTCCCATATCTTCTGGGGGATCGACGATTCCTTGTGTCTGTGTATATTTCCCTCCTGAGATCCGTGCGTGCGTTTGCTGTCGCAAGATTAGAGAAGAAGAACAAAAACGCCACAACCATAAATGTTTGACGCTGCGCGCGGACTTCTTGGATCCGCGCCGGAGCGCGCCAGGGGCGGCGCCGGAGGCCCGGCGGATCCAAGAGATCCGCGCGGAGCGCCAAAAGTTTATGCTTATGTGGTTTCTCTTCTTCGAAAGATCGGGAGCAGCCAAGCGGGGGGTGTCCAAGAGGGGGGGTGCAAATCATTACCGGCGGCATGTGCGCGGCCCATCGGGGGGGCCAGGGACGTAATGAAACAAGAAGAGGCGACATGAGATCTGGGGAGATACCATGGCCCCCGCCACGATATCCCCCCCCCCCCCCCTGGTCGTCACCGCCCTCTTTGCCGCCCCCGATCTTCGAAAGATGCTCCTCGAGGCTCCCCGCCGGGAACAGAAAAAACGCACACGTCCGAGCTAGAGGAAACATAACTATGCACACACACACATACACCGATTCTGGCCAGGCCCATCCTGAGCCCGGGGTCGGTGCATGCGCCCTCCTACCTTGGCCAGGAAGGCAGATGCACCGATCCCGGGTCAGGGATGGGCCCTGCCAGGATCGGTGCGTGTGCACAGTTCTCTCCGCCCGACGAGCGATGCCGAGGGGCCACCGCTCCGCCAGTTGTGGCCCCCCCCGCCTCTGGAGGCCGTGGGGCCCGCCGTGCTGCTCGGCACGCCCGGGAGCTCTGCGGCCCCGCAGCCGAGGCCGGACACCTGGCGCCAGGGACCAACCTACGTACAGTCAACCCGTGTCTTAGGAGGCAACTGCTGGGAGGCTTTCGTCGGAGAAATCAAGGAGGATGAAGCCCCGTTTGGGAGCTATCGCGCCGGAGTGGGCTTCGGATTAAGCGGGATTGAGCGGGATTGAGCCGGATTAAGCGGGATTCAGGACTTCGGACCAGTGCATCTGAAAAAGGTGCTGCTCAGACTCTTGGGCGCCCCCAGACTCTGGGGGGTTGGGGTTGCTCCGACTTTGTCTCTCGCTGTCCGACTGTGTCTCCTCGCTCCTACCCCCTGCCTCCTTCTCCTGGTCCTCCTCCCTATTTCTCTTCCTACTCCCTCTTCGCCTGCTTTTCCAGGTCCTTTTCTTCCTCTTCCTCCTGTTCCTCCTCCTCCTCCTCCTCCTCAACCTCCTCCTCCTCCTCCTCCTCCGCTCCTCTCCTCCTCCTCCTCCTCCTCCTCCTCCTCCTCCTCCTCCTCCTCCTCCTCCTCCTCCTCCCCCTCCTCCTCCCCAAGAGGCCTCTAAGACGCCCAAGATGGCCTCCAAGACGGCCCTGAAGCGCCTCAAGAGGACCCCACATCGGTTCAAAGAGGCCCCCAAGATGGCTTCCGACGGCGTCAGACCCGTCAGACGGGCCAGGAACGCTTCAAGACGGCCAAGGAGAGGCCCCCAAGACGCCCCCACGGCCCCCAAGAGGCCTAAGGAGGCCCCCAAGAGGCTTCCAAGAGGCCCCCGGGAAGCCTCCAGGAGGCCCCACAAGAGTGCCCAAAGAGGCTCCCAAGAGGCCTCCTCCTCCTCCTCCTCCTCCTCCTCTTCCTCCTCCCTCTCCTGATCCTCCCCCTCAGCCTCCCCCAAGTGTTCCCCGAAGAGTTTCCGGAGCGGCTGGGGGAATACATAATCAGATAGCTTGGCAAAGCTGGGGCCCAACGTTTGGCCACATAGGCGCTTCTGAAAAAGGCTGGGGGCGGCGGTGATTCGCCGTAGGCGTCTTGGATCCGCCGCCCCCTGTGCTTGCCACAGGGGTGGACGGCGTGCCAGACATTTTGCTGCTCTTCTTATTTTCAAACCCTTCCCAGTGGCCTTCGGCCCAGACCGCCTGCCCTCGGAAGGACCAGAAGGTGTGGCCACATCGCCACTAAGACGGCCCAAATGGCCCAAGATGGCCACCAAGATGCCTCCAAGGCGGCTAGGATCGCTCCAAGAGAGCCCAAGACGGCCCCAATATGTTTCCAAGACGGCCCAAGATGCAACCGAGGCGTTCCAAGATGGCCCCAAGATGGCCCAGGACGGCCCCAAAGGCCCCCAAGAGGCTTTTAATGCAGTCCAAGAAGCCTCCAAGGGGACCTGCAGGAAGGCCCGAAGAGGCCAAGACAGCTGATTTCCCGTGGGCTCTTGATGGATTTTAACGTTTTCGGCCTGCCGACGGCCCAGTGCCGCCGAAGAGACCCCCAAGATGGCCCCAAGAGCGCCCAAGAGGCCTCCAAGACGGCCCCACGACGGCCTCCAGACGGTCCAAAAGGCCCCCAAGGCGCCTCCAAGACGGCCCACGAGAACTCCAAGGCGCCCACTCGTCATCGTGGTTGTCGCCGTCATCGTCGTCGTCGTCATCGTCGTCGTCGTCGTGGTCGTCAAACCTCTTCCAGTTTCCTAATCAAACCCCTCTCCCTCTCCCTCTCCCTTCCCCCTCCACCAACCCCCCCACCCCCCCTCCACCCCCCCCTCCACCACCCACCTCAGCCCCCCCTCCACCTCCCCCTCCACTCCCCGTCCAACTCCCCCTCCACCCCTTCGGATGTCCCTTGGAACCTTTTTGGGAGCACCCAGGGGGCTCCAGAGGGCCCCAAGAGGGCTCCAAGACGCGCCCCAGAGACCACTGAGAGGTCTCATCCAGACGCGCTGATCGATGACACCTACTAGCGGTTTCTGAGGCCTCTCTTGGGCCCCTCTTGCCTCTTGGGCCCGTTTGGGGGCCCTCTTAGGGCCTTCTTGGAGCCATCATGTGGGCCAACAAGGGGCCCAAGAGGGCTCCAAGAGGGCCCCAACAGGGTTCAGGAGTTATGTACCAGCGGCCGCTGGGTTGGTACATAATTCCTGGGGCCCTCTTGGAGCCCTCTTGGGGCCCTCTTGGGGCCCTCTTCGGGCCCTCTTGGGGCCCTCTTAGGGCCAACCCGGGCCCCAAGAGGGCTCCAAGAGGGCCCTCAGAGGGCCCCAAGAGGGCCCCAAGAGTGATGTACCAGCGGCCGCTGGGTTGGTACATAATTCCTGGGGCCTTCTTGGGGCCCTCTTAGGGCCAACCAGGGGCCCAAGAGGGTTCCAAGAGGGCCCTCAGAGGGCCCCAAGAGGGCCCCAGGAATTATGTACCAGCGGCCGCTGGATTGGTACATAATTCCTGGGGCCTTCTTGGGGCCCTCCTAGGGCCAACCAGGGGCCCAAGAGGGCTCCAAGAGGGCACTCAGAGGGCCCCAACAGGGCCCTAGGAGTTATGTACCAGCCCAGTCTTAGGGACCCCTTGGAGCCATCTTATGGGCCGATGTCCCACGGGGACCACCGGGTAACTCCGATGTCCCACGGGGGATACCGGGTAACTCCGATGTCCCACGGGCCGATGTCCCACGGGGACCACCGGGTAATTCCGACGTCCCACGGGGGACACCGGGTAACTCCGATGTCCCACGGGCCGATGTCCCACGGGGACCACCGGGTAACTCCGATGTCCCACGGGGACACCGGGTAACTCCGATGTCCCACGGGGGGGCACCAGGTAAATCGTGCCCAGACCCCCCCTTGCAAGGTCGAGTTACCCGATGTCCCCCGGGGGACACCGGGTAACTCCGATGTCCCACGGGCCGATGTCCCACGGGGACCACCGGGTAACTCCGATGTCCCACGGGGGACACCGGGTAACTCCGATGTCCCACGGGCCGATGTCCCACGGGGACCACCGGGTAACTCCGATGTCCCACGGGGGACACCGGGTAACTCCGATGTCCCACGGGCCGATGTCCCACGGGGACCACCGGGTAACTCCGATGTCCCACGGGGGACACCGGGTAACTCCGATGTCCCACGGGAGGCCACCGGGTAACCATGCCCAGACCCCCCTTGCAATGTCGAGTTACCCGATGTCCCCCGGGGGACACCGGGTAACTCCGATGTCCCACGGGCCGATGTCCCACGGGGACCACCGGGTAACTCCGATGTCCCATGGGGGTCCACCGGTTTACTGAATAATGCCGAATGCGCCCCTTGCAAGGTCGACTTACTCGACGCCCCTCGGGGGACACCGGGTAAATGGGGTGTGTGGAGCGCACCCCCCGCTTACCCGATGTCCCCCAGGGGACACCGGGTAACTCATGCCCGACTCCCCCCCGTGCAAAGTCGAGTTACTCGATGCCCCCCCCTCGCCACCGGGTAACCCGTGCCTAACACCCCCCCCTGCAAGGTCGAGTTACCCGATGTCCCCTGGGGGACACCGGGTAAGTGGGGGGTGTGGAGCGCACCCCCCAGTTACCCGATGCTCCCAAGGGGGGGCGCCAAATAACTTATGCCGTCGTCGTCGTCGTCGTCGTCGTCGTCGTTGTCGCCGGTCGTCGGTCGCGGGCCGGAAAAATTTGAGGCTTCGGATCCGTTTCGGGGCCCCCCTGGGCCCCGAGGGCTCCAAACCCCTGGGGAAAAGCAGCAGCAAAACTTACCACTCCAGTTCGAGGCGTCGTCGTCGTCGTCGTCGCCGTCGTCTGCGGGTCGAGAGCTCCAGGATGGGGCCGAAAGCTCCGGGTTGGGGTCGGGAGCTCCTGGACGGGGTCGAGAGCTCTGGGGTCGAAACAGGGGCCAGGAAATTTGGTCCAAGTATCGCTGCCTGGTCCTGCAGGGGCTGGGTAAGGGTGCGTTTACACCTCCTCGTCGTCGTCGTCGCCGAGGAGGAGGAGGAGGGCCCCAGGAGTTCTGTACCACCGGCCGCTGGGTTGGTACATAATTCCTGGGGCCTTCTTGGAGCCCTCTTGGCGCCCTCTTGGCGCCCTCTTGGCGCCCTCTTGGGGCCCTCTTGGGGCCCTCTTGGGGCCCTACAGGGCCAACCAGGGGTCCGAGAGGGCTCCGAGAGGGCCCTCAGAGGGTCCCAAGAGGGTTCAGGAGTTCTGTACCAGCGGCCGCTGGATTGGTACATAATTCCTGGGGCCTTCTTGGGGCCCTCTTGGCGCCCTCTTGGGGCCCTCTTGGGGCCCTTTTGGGGCCCTCTTGGGGCCCTCTTAGGGCCCTCTTGGAGCCCTCTCATGGGCCAACCAGGGGCCCAGGAGGGCTCCAAGAGGGCCCTCAAAGGGCCCCAAGAGGGCCCCAGGAGTTATGTACCAGCGGCCGCTGGGTTGTTGCACAACTCCTGGGGCCCTCTTGGGGCCCTCTCGGAGCCCTCTTGGGGCTCTCTTGGGGCCCTCTTAGGGCCCTCTCGGGGCCATCTTATGGACGGCGACGACAACGACAACGACGACGACGATGACGACGACGACGACGACGACACGACGACGACGACGACGACCACGACGATGGCGGAGCCGCTTCTGGCCTATCATTCCGTCCTTGACCCCTTGCTCAAACTCCTCGTCCTCCTGCTGCTCCTGCTCCTCTGGTTCCTGTTGATCACCTCCTCGTCCTCCTGCCCCTCCTCCTCCTCGACCCAAAAGCTGGCCGTGGGGCTTTGAGATGGCGGCCCCACAAAACATCACCGGGCCTCGGGGTGATATGTTTTTCCTGGGGGGGGCAAGGGCGTCCGCAGACGAGCCCGCGCTGAGCTGCAGGCTTCTCGGAGCCGCTTCGGGCCTCTGATTCCGTCCTTTCCTCTTGCTCTTCCTCTTGGACTGTTTCCTCGCCCTTTGGGGCCCTTTTGGGGCCATCTTGAAGTCAGCTTGGGCCGTCTTGGGACCATCTTGTGGACATCTTGGGCCGTCGGACAGCCGAAAAAGAAAACGCGCCCAAATTATTCAACAATTGAAGGGAATACATACAACCATTTGGGCATTTCGGGCTCTCCTGGAGGTCCTCTTGAAGACTTCCTAGACTGTCTAGGAGGCCCCTTGCATCCCCTTGGGGCCCTTGGGGCCCTCTGTGGCTGTCTTGGGACATCCTGGGGCTATGTCGAATCGTATCGTTGCCATCTTGGACGTTTTGGAGCCGTCTTGAAGGCCATCGTGGGCGCCTTGGAATTCTCGTGGGCCGTCTTGGAGGCGCCTTGGGGGCCTCTTGGACCGTCTGGAGGCCGTCATGGGGCCGTCTTGGAGGCCTCTTGGGCGCTCTTGGGGCCATCTTGGGGGTCTCTTCGGCGGCATTGGGCCGTCGGCAGGCCGAAAACGTCAAAATCCATCAAGAGCCCACGGGAAATCAGCTGTCTTGGCCTCTTCGGGCCTTCCTGCAGATCCCTTTGGAGGCTTCTTGGACTGCATTAAAAGCCTCCTGGGGGCCTTTGGGGCCGTCCTGGGCCATCTTGGGGCCATCTTGGACGCCTCGGGTGCATCTTGGGCCGTCTTGGAGACATATTGGAGCCGTCTTGGGCTCTCTTGGAGCGATCCTAGCCGCCTTGGAGGCATCTTGGTGACCATATTGGGCCGTTTGGGCCGTCTTGGTGGCGATGTGGGCCACACCTTCTGGTCCTTCCGAGGGGCAGGCGGTCTGGGCCGAAGGCCACTGGGAAGGGTTTGAAAATCAGAATCTCAGCAAAATGTCTGGCACGCCGTCCAACCCTGTGGCAAGCACAGGGGGCGGCGGATCCAAGACGCCTACGGCGAATCACCGCCGCCCCCAGCCTTTTTGAGAAGCGCCTATGTGGCCAAACGTTGGGCCCCAGCTTGGCCAAGCTATCTGATTGTGTATTCCCCCAGCCGCTCCGGAAACTCGTCGGGGAACGCTTGGGGGAGGCTGAGGGGGAGGATCAGGAGAGGGAGGAAGAGGATGACAAGGAGGAGGAGAAGGAGGAGGAGGAGGAGGAGAAGGAAGCCTCTTGGGAGCCTCTTGGGGCACTCTTGTGGGGCCTCCTGGGGGCTTCCCGGGGGGCCTCTCGGAAGCCTCTTGGGGGCCTCCTTAGGCCTCTTGGGGGCCGTGGGGGCGTCTTGGGGGCCTCTCCTTGGCAGTCTTAAATCGTTCCTAGCCCGTCTGACGGGTCTGACGCCGTCGGAAGCCGTCTTGGGGGCCTCTCTGAACCGATGTGGGGTCCTCTTGAGGCGCTTCAGGGCCGTCTTGGAGGCCATATTGGGCGTCTTAGAGGCCTCTTGGGGCCGTCTTTGGGGCCTCCTGGGCCGTCATGGGGCCATCTTGAAAGCCTCCTGGGCGCACTGGGGGCGAGGAGGAGGAGGAGGAGGAGGAGGAGGAGGAGGAGGAGGTTGGAGGAGGAAAAGGAGGAATAGGAAGAAAAGGACTGGGAAAAGCAGGCGAAGAGGGAGTAGGAAGAGAAATAGGGAGGAGGACCAGGAGAAGGAGGCAGGGGGTAGGAGCGAGGAGACACAGTCGGACAGCGAGAGACAAAGTCGGAGCAACCTCCAACCCCCAGAGTCTGGGGGCGCCCCAGAGTCTGAACAGCACTTTTTTCAGATTGCAAAATCAGAATTTGACCTCCCAGGAGTTGCATCCCAACGTATCGCAGGGATGCGCGATTAGGATGCAAGGGCCTTGGCGGGCCATTTCGTGGCTTTTCGAGCGGGACGCGGCCAGCGAAAGTGGCCGCAGACGGGCCGAGGAGGCACGGATGCAAGGGTACCCTTGGGAAGGTTGCCCAGCCCTACCATGCGTTTTGACTGTAAGCAGTGCGTTTCGTTTTCGTGTTGGTTTCGTTCTCCCTCGTGTTGCCTTCCGTCCCTGCAGATCGAAATCGACACGAAAGCAGCCCACGGTATCGCGAAAACACCGTTTGGGTTATGTTGTTCCCATCCTACTGAGGAACCCCATCCCAGAAATAATTCCGAGCACCCAGAAAAATGTCAAAAGAGTGTCAAAAGAGTGTCGAAAGAGTGTCGGGCAAGTGTCTCCCAGGGCCCGACACGTGAAAACCCTTGAGTTTCGGTATTTGTTCCGGCGCTCGAAATTCTTTCTTGTGATCAAGGCTAAAGTAGGGTGGAACATCATAACGTTTGGGTCGACCCCTGCCTGGCGCTGGATGGTGTCCGTGCAGCGGCGGAGCAAGTCTGACAGCTCGGCCTCGCGCACGCTGCCAGACTTGTGCGGGGAGAAGGGCAGGGCAATCTTCTTGAAGACGTGCCGGAGGGCCTTCTCGAGGTCGTGCACAGAGATCCCCTCGTCCCTGATGAGCTTGTTGTCGGCCTCCGTCAGGAGCTCCCCACTGCACAACTTCCTGTAGAACGTCTCGTCAGGGTACTTGAACGGCGTTTTGTCGTCCCGCTTGTAGATCTCGACGGGCACTATGTGAACGCCAGTCTGGTGCGCAGTGGCGATCTCAATCAGCACCCATGGGCGCTTTAACACCTCCTCGGTCAGCAGCAATACCAAATTCATGGTGTTCCGCACGTGGCCCTTCAAATCGCTCAGGTCGGTCAGGTCTTCCGAATCGAGGAAGACGGGCGCAATCATGTGGTACCCAGGATTCTCTGGGTCGTTGTCGATGATGCGCTCCAAGGCCTCCTGCATCAGCGTGGCCTCGGTGCCTCCGCCGGCCTTGTGGTGGGAGATGAAGATGTAGTGTTGGTGGGTGACGGTGGACATCGTCCTGCACTTGTTGAGGCGACGTTCGGTCGCAGCCTCGTCGGCGAGGTCGTCTATCCTTGTCGCGCGCTCCTCCTCTGCGAGGATATCCTCCTTGTCGATGTGGATGCTGTCCACGACGTCGGACCAGCAGCTCTCGGCCATCTCGTTCAGCTGCTGCACGAACTTGCGACCGTACCTGCTTGCGTATGCACAGGCGCTGGCGTGGTGCAGCGAGAGCATCGTTATGAACTTCGCTGCCTCCAGCACCAACAGCCCTCCGCCAGCCGCGGCCCTAAACTCGCCGCAGTGCTCCCACGCCGTCACCCAGAGGACGGCCTCGCTGACCCAACATCCGCGGCTCAATTCGTATTCCTCCTTGACATCGTCGTCAACCCTCCCGGCGTCAGAAGCGTTCGAGTTCATGGGCGAGTCCGGAAACAGGCAGGCTTCGCCGCTGGATTTCGAGCACAAGCGCGAATACTGGAACTCGCCCGCCACGACGAAGTACATGGACCGGAACAGGGCGAGTTGAGACAGCGGCGGTTCTCCCCCCCCACCGTCCCAAATCCTTTCAAAATCGGTTCCCGGCGGACCCCTCCCTGGGTCTATCCTGACTTGTTCTTCGACGCGGATCCAGCTGTGGCGACGAGAAGCCTCCAGGATGCCCCAGAAGGACGAAAAGCGTCAGCAGTGCCGCCGTTGTCCTGACCGGCCCTCTTCCGAATGGAGGTGCACGCGTCGCCGGCAGCGAAGACGACCTCGACGGGGCGCACGGACTTCTCCGAGCAGCACTCGTGGCAGAGCTGCCGCACGATGCGGGGGTTCCAGTCGTGGATGTCGCCGAAGAAGCCGTACGCGATCACGATCGGCATGCGGACCTCCTCCTCGATGTCCATCTGAAGGTTCTGCGGGAGGACTGCCAAGACCTCCTTGGCCTGTTCCGCCTTGCTTTCCTTGTTGCACAGCTTCATGTGGACATCGATGCACGTCTTGACCGCCAGGGACAGCTCGCGCGAGATGTTGTTCTTCCTGAGGTAAGAACGCAGCAGCAGGCGCTGCTTGACCGTGGAGGAGCGCATCTCTTCAAGTTTCAGCATCCCCGCATTGGCAGAGCCAATCAGCAGGCACAGCGATCCCAAGCCCAGCAGAAATGCAACGATAGCGTACATCGACTCCGAAGTGTTGCTTGGCTCAACCTCGCTAACGCCATGTAGCTGCGCCAAAGTCCACCGCACACAAGTCAGATACTGGTAATCCACCCCCGCCTCCTCTTCAATCACCCTGGCGACCCAACCACCCCTCGAACGGGATCCCACCCAGAACCAGCCGCAAGTAATTACGTGAACCCCAACGGCAAAATAAAGGAATATCCGTACCAGATTATTCATCCTCCATGCGACCGTCGAATTGAACACCGAACCGAAACGCTCGAACACCATCTCAAGCTTCAAGAGCCGGAAGGTTCGAACGAACCGAAGAAGGCGGAAATGATCCAGCAAAGTCCCCGTTCCATCAGGCCCGCCCCCACTCGGCATAATGAAGACAGGAATCCACTCCGAAATGGCGATGACGGCGTCGAACGCCATCCAGCCCTTCGCGTAGTGCTTCGCGACCTCCCAGAAGCGAAGCTCGAGCTCCAAATCGATGTAGACGCCGGTGAAGAAAGAAGCACCGATGTCGACTGTCCAGAAGACCCGGCTGACCCAGTCCTAGAGGAATGAAACAACTGCACGAACATAACGTATCGGAGCTTCGTGCGGATTTCTTGGATCGGCGCTGGACCCCACTCCCTAGCGAGCGGAGCACGCCAGGGGGGCCCAACGCCGTGGGGAGCTCCGAAAGCTGATGGGTACGCCGTTGTGCTTCTCAGGCCGTGTCCGTAGCGTTGGTGAAGGGCTCTGGAGGCCAGCCGAAAGGCTGCATAGGAACCACCGCGATGTGACGGGGCCAACAAAATATACACCACCACCTCCGCAACTCCGTCCCTCTCCTATGAACGAGGAGGGGAGGAGGAGGGCAGAGGAGGGAGGAGGGAGGAGGGCAGAGGAGGGAGGAGGAGGGAGGCGGGAGGGTAGAGGAGGGGAGGAGGGGAGGAGGAGAGAGGAGGACTGGAAATTGTGGTGGTGGTGTAGATTCTTGGGCCCCGCGATGTCGTAGATCACCAGCAGCGTGGTGCACAGCTCCCAGAGCAGCCGCCCCCGGGACGCCGGGTGCAGCAGGCCAGGGCCCAGGTTGCAGAGGCCCTCCTTCTGCCGCTTGCCTCGGCGAGAGGAAGCTTCCTCCTCCTCCTCCTCCTCCTCCTCCTCCTCCTCCTCCTCCTCCTCCTCCTCCTCCTCCCCCTCCTCCTCCTCCTCCTCCTCTCCTCCTCCTCCTCCTCCTCCTCCTCTTCCTCATCCACCTCCTCCTCCTCCTCCTCCTCCTCCTCCTCCTCCTCCTCCAACTGCGCCTGCATAGACATACATGTTCGGAGGCCCTCGCGGAGCTCCAAAAACTTACCCCTTCATGCCGCTCCCTGCCGTTCTCCCTCGGTGCCTCCGCTGTTGGTGGCCAGGAACGACAGCTGCCTGATGCCGAAGGGGTGCTGCGGGCCCGACGCGCCGCGCCAGTTCTTCGTGGACGTGAGCAGCACGCTCGAGGCCTCCCTCCAGACCTCCCGCAGGTGGAAGCGCTCGCCGTCTAGGTCCTCAGGAGAGCAGCCAACAAGAACTGCACTCACATAGGGAGCCCACCAAGGACGCACGCGCCCGGACACGTGCAGGAATGCGGCCCCTCAGCCCCCAAGACCAGCCTCGTGTTAAGAACGTTCGCGCAATGCGCACTTTCGAAACCAGCGTGGACCCATGTATGTGTATTCACGTCCTTCTTTCGCCCCTGACCACAACCGTACGCTGGGACTCCTGGATCGGCCCTGGAGCCTCCCTGGCGCGCGGAGCGTGCCAGGGGCAGGCGCCACCAGGAGGGATCCAACGCCGACCCCACAACTCTGCGCGGACTGGCCAGAGCGTGTGCTCGTGCCGCGTTTAGACGAGGCCAGAACAAACAGAAATTCGGTTGAGGAGGAATCGAGGATCTCTGAGATCGGGCGGCTCCAGAGCATGTGCTGGGCGCCGCGGGCTCCTCTGAGCCTCCCGGCACGCCCTGGGAGCGCTCCAGAACGCTCTGGAGCAAACTCCTTGTCCTCGTCCCCTGGCCCTGCCCGACGCGTTCTCTCCCTCGAGTCCTTGCTGCTGGGGCGCGAGGCGACCGACCTGCAGGGTGGCCCCGCAAACCCCGGATCAAAACGTGGGTGAGACGCTGATCAAAACCCGTCACTTGTCTCAACGTCTTGACCCCGAGAGGCCACCGACCCGCAAGGAGGAAAGACTGGTCTACTCTGTAAGAACGGTTTTTTGAAGGCAGATCTGCCTTCAAAAAACCGTTCTTACAGAGTAGACCAGTCTTTCTCGGCCCCGCAAGCTCCGGATCATAGCGTGCCGACGCCCCGCTCGGCGCTCGCGCGGCCCTCCGCCGCTCCGCCTCCGCCAGCATGCCGCCGAGGGCGAGGCCGAGGGGCACGTGGCACGTGGGGCCAAGTCGGGCCTGCCCCTCTGCAGGAGGAACATGCAAACATAAGAGAAAAATAGTCAGGGGACCATGTTTTGAGCATGTCTTCGCCATTTTGGAATATGTTTTGCGTTTTTTTTATCCTTCGTCGAAAATCCCCCTGTAGGGGGACACGCCCGACTTAAACGTAGGGGGGGGACTGGCTCAGGGGGGGACATCGACCTGGGATCGGCGACACGCCACGCCGTCGATACATTGGCGACGTGCGCTCGATGGCGCCACCGCAGTTCCTGGGGTGGGGAGGCTACAAGGCCCCTATATCCTTAGGTCGGGCCTGTCCCACCACAGGGGGATTTTGGACGAAACATAACAAATACTCAAAACATACCCCCAAAACGTTCAAAAATGGTCTAAACTTTGTCCCCAGACTATTGTTTGACTATTGTGGAATATTCCCCCTGTAAAGGGACAGGCTCGACTCAACCCTATCGGCGATCAGTGGGCGATCGTGGGGTCGATGCACCCACCTGAGCCCATCGCCTCCTGACATTGACCCTGGCTTTCGGGTGATAACTCGGATTTGTAGCGGCCGTTCGTGACGATCCTGGCACGCCCAGAACGCTCTCGACGAGCCGCAGCTGATTGAAACCACTCCGGCTCCGAAAACAACAAGTATCAAACATGGGAAACCTGCCGAAAACTGATCCCCCTAACCCTGAAATCCGCCGCTGCAGAAACAAATGCAACATGGGGGAAAACCGTGACCATAGACCTGGACCTCACGTTTCCTGGCAATTTTTCGAGCTGGATCGATCGATGATGGTCCCCGGGGCCCGAGGCGAGACAAAACCGCCAGCTGCGAGCAAACATCGCGACGCCAGCACCTCGGGGTCCCACCCCCCCCTACGCTAGGTCGGGCATTTCCCCTTACAGGCGGCGGACTTTGGATGAGAAGTTAAGAACAATCAGACAAGACACACACATAGTGAAAAATGATCGAAAAATCGTCCCCTGACCATCTCTCAACTACCTTTGAATGCTCTTCCTGTAGAGGGACAGGTCCGACTTAAGCCTAACGTCGTCACGGGGACGAACGGACGCTCCCACGCGCGCGGGGAGGCGCGGGCCCTCCAAAAAAATCTCGGAGCGGTGGCGCCGCGGCGCCGAGCCTCCGCACTGGAGCTGGGAGAGAACAGCGAGCGATGCCGCGCGAGCGCGCTGCAAGAGAAGCGGGGAGTTGAGCAGGGACCGACCGTCCCAGAACTCTTATAGGCATACAGCGACATGTTCGTAGAACCCAACAGTGTTCTAAGAACAGAGGCGATGTTCTGAGAGCATAAACCCGATGGATTAAAACAGGACAGCCCCAGCCAGAACTGTTCTCAGAACATCTCGTGCAGACCACAACGGTGGGCCTATAGGCGAGCCAAGACGTTTCGACACTGCTTGAGTCAAGTCGGGCCTGTCCCCCTACAGGGGGATTGCGGACGAAAAATTCGAACAAATACACCAACAATTCGCCGGCCCAACGGGCCAGGGCGTGCTAAGATCTCCGGTGCCTGGTTAACAGCATTTCTAGTTCGCGCGCGCGGGGCGGCCCCTGGGGGTCCCCGGACGAAACGTACCCCGGCAAGGTCCCGGCAAGTCCCCGGCAAGTCCCCGGCAAGGTCGGGTCAGAGATGCCGGAGTTCTGTTTCGGAGTCCAAGAGAGCTCCAGATCGGTCCAAGAGGGCCCCGAGAAGCTTTCTAGACGGTCCAAGAGAGGCCCGAGACGGCCAAAGATCGCCCGAAGACGCCCCAGATGGCCCCAAGACAGCCCAAGAGGCCTCCAAGACGCTCCAAGGGCCTTCCAAGAGGCCTCCGAAGAGGGCCCCAAGTTGCCAAAATCGTTGATTTTCATTGGTTTTTTCTATGTTTTTTTGCGTTCTGGCCTTTTCGCTTCCGGACGCTCCAAGAGGGCCCAAGAGGCCTTCAAGACTGCTCCAAGACGGCCCACGAGGCTCCCAAGACGGCCCCGGAGCGGCCCAAGAGCGCCCCCCAGACGGCCCAAGTGCCGCCCAAGGCGGACCAAGAGGCCCCAAGACGGGCCCAAGAGGGGCTCAAGAAGGGAACCGAGAACTGAAAAATCGAGCCCTCCGCCCCAGAAGGCGCCCAGGACCCCGAAAGAGGCCCCAAGAGACTCTCCAAGACACCCCCAAGACGCCCCAATAAGCTCCCGTGAGGCCCCAAGAGGACCAACAACGTCAGGCCCCAGACCCCAAGAGGACCAACAAATACCGCCAAGAGCCCGCCGAAAGCCCCCCAAGAGACCGTCACGAGAGCTCAGGAGGCCCCCTGGAGGCCTCCCGAGTTCTCCAAGAGGCCACGAACGCGCAAGCAAACGCCTGCGATGGCACAATACGGGCCGGCGGAATGAGCGAAGCGATTAAATAATCAAACAATAGTCCCAAAATGGTCTGGGAACCATTTTTTGAATATTTGTTTTTACCTTTTTGGGGTATTTGGGGAATATTTTTTATATTTCGTCGAAAGTCCCCCTGTAGGGGGACACGCCCGACATAACGCTGGCGGGAGCTTGCACGAGGGACTGCTCCTACCGACTGTGAAAATTCCCATTCGGAGGTGGACAAACCTCCTGCCCTGACACGTCGATGAAGGAATTGGCCGGCTTAGGTTCGCGAGAGGGCGTCGCGGCCGTCTTTTTTCGGGTCCAGGTCCGTCGGTGTCGGTCCCGGGCCGTTTTCACCAAGGGGAGGTTTACTCAAGGGAGGTTTGTCCACCGCCGACCCATGTCTGAGGAGGAAAAAACGGCACCCCGACAGAATGCTCGAGGGAAGAAGCTCGCCATCGCTTGGACGTCCATTCCCTGTGTGTTTTTGCGGTTTCGTGCGTGGCTTTTTCGCCAACTGATCGAGGATGCTCCTCGATGGTCCTCGCCGAAGGGAAAATGCACACGACCGAGCGATGCCAGGGGGAAGACGACCTGGAGCCCGTCGCGAACAGCTCCGCGCTGTCGTTGCTCGCGCTGCCGAGGCTGCCCTTGCGCTGCGCGGCGCTCTCCGGCGGCGGCCCCGTCGCGGTGTGCGTCCGGCTGGCCCCGCGCCGGCGGCGAGAGGACGTCTGCGCGACGTCGGGGCCCTGGCAGGCAGGCGGCCCACTCTGTGACGATTGGGAGAGGAGGCAAGGAGGAGGAGGAGGAGGAGGAGGAGGAGGAGGAGGAGGAGGAGGAGGAGGAGGAGGAGGAGGAGGGGGGGGAGGAGGGAAGAGGAGGAGGAGGAGGAGGGGAGGAGGAGGAGGAGGAGGACGACGACGACGAGGGAGGAGGAGGAGGAGGAGAAGGCGGAGAAGGAGGAGGAGGAGGAAGAGGAGGAGACGATCCTGGCGCCCGTGACCGCGGCGCGCCCCGCCCCACCCACCCCCGTTTGGTCACATCACGATTCGCGCCAGCGCCGTGTGGGAATGCCGTGTGGGAATGACCCCCGCCCCCTATGGTTAGGTCGGGCATGTCCCCTTACAAGGGGATTTGAGGAACAACATGAAAATTCAAACATGCATAACACATGCTCCAAAAATTGTCCCCGGACTAATGTTTGACTATTTTGGAATATTCCACCTGTAGAGGGACACGCCCGACTTGACTCTACTGTCACGTCACGATTCGCGCTGGCGCCATGTGGGAATGAGCTTTTCTTGAAGATTCTGAAGAACGGCGCTGACGCGAATCGTCCCGTCACGATTCGCGCCGGCGCCGTGTGGGGATGAGCTTTTCCCGAAGATTCTCGAACACGGCGCTGACGCGAATCGTCACGTCACGATTCGCGCTGGCGCCCTTTGAGAATGAGCTTTTCCAGAAGATTTTCAAAAGCGGCGCTGACGCGAATCGTCACGTCACGATTCGCGCCAGCGCCGTGTGAGAATGAGCTTTGGGAATGAGCTTTTCCTAACAAACAGATTATCGAAAATGGAGCTGACGCGAATCGTGACCGGACCGGTCCCCTCACCTCTCTGGTCACGCCCGTTACCGCCGGGGGGTACGATGGTCTCAAATCCGATCTGAAGCCTTGGTATTCGGGCTTTGCAAATCTCCGCCGATGTGCCCTGGGCACGAAGTGGAGTGCCTCAGGGCTCAAAGCTGTGCTGCTGCTGCTGCTGCTGCTGCTGCCCGGGTTTTCAAATTCCTACAGACCCAGACACCCAATTCCCTGGGCGCCCCCAATCAAGAATTGCCGGGAATTCTCGGGGTGTAACGCGTGCGTTGTGGAAACAAGGGGGGTCCCAAGCTGGGCCCAGAGGGACCAATGAAGCCACGAAAACGGCCCCAGAGAGCCTCGCGCCGCCTCAAGATCGCCACCAGATCCTCAAGAGGGCTCAAGACGGCAAAAGAGCCCCCCAAAAACCTCGAAGGGGGCCCCATGAGCACCTCCACTAAGATACCAAGGCGTTGGGTTCTGTTTACGTGTTTGCAACACTGTAGGCTTCTGGCGGTTTTCTTCTTGGCTTTGGACAGCTCAAGACGGCCCAAGAAACGCCCAACATCGGGAGCGGCAAAGAGGGGGGTGTCGAAGAGGGGGGTGTGCAAATCATGACCGGCGGCATGTGCGCGGCCCAGCGGGCGGGCCAGGGACGTAATGAAATAAGAAGAGGCGCCATGAGATCTGGGGAAATATCATGCCCCCCGCCATGATATCCACCCCCCCCTAGTCATCACCCCCCTCTTTTCCGCCCCCGACAACAGCGCCCCAGGACGGCCCAGACCCCCCCGGGAAAGCCCCAAGACGCCCCAAGAGGGGGCCCAAAAGGCTGTCAAGACGGCCCGAGAGACACCCACGAGGGCCCCACGAGGGGTCCAAGAGGGGAAGTGCGACCGGACATTCCGAGCCTTCCGCACCAAGATGGCCCCAAGGGGCACGCGCTTGGAGCAGCATATGGGGCCGAACGACCCCACGGGTGGCAACTGGACTGGTGAGGCGCCTGTGGCGCTCCCGCACTTTCTGGACCTAAGACGGCTGGAATGGTGATGATCCTGTGCCGCTGCCACGATTTCTGGACCTGCGACAGCTGCCATCGAGCCATAACACCACAGTGAATCTCATCTCCTGATCTGCGAAAGCTGAAATCCAGCCCAAACACTCGGCTCCCCCTGTGGGAATTCTGATGCAACATACATTTGAAATGAAATCGAGACGGAATATTCTTGCGACTCTCATTTCGGAGCCAAGTCGAGTGAAGACACCATAGCGAATTTCATCCCTAGATCTCGGAGGACTGACATCGAACCATAGCAACATAGTGAACCTCACTTCTGAACCCATTCGAGCCAGAACTCCAGAGGGACTCTCATTTCTGCACCTGCGAAAGCTGAAATCACACCAGAGCAATCGGCCATCATGAGCATGGAGATTCTGGAGAAAGGAACCTTTGAATTGACATCGATCAAAGACACCATCATTGACCAGATCGAGCCAAAGCATTATAGCGAGTTCTCAGTTCTGGGCTCGGGGAAGCTGAAGTCGAGGCATACCACCATGGTCAGCATCACTTCTGGACAACATCGAACCAGAACATCAGCACGAGCCTCACCCCTGGATCTGCGAAGGCTGAACGAGCAAGAATGCTATAACGAATCGATTCTGGACAGCCGCCGTACCGGTGAGGCGCCTGCCCCCAGCTCTTCCTGTGGAGACTCTGGTGAAGGAGATCGAGCCAGAACGAATAGTGAACCTCATTTCTGGGCCAAAACGAAACAAAACACCAAAGTACATGTCACTTCTGGGTCTGGGGGGCTGACTCCGAACCCGCCCCCCACTTGTCGCCAGCCCCGGTCCTGGACACATCGGACAAAAACGCCATGGTGCGTCCCATTTCTGGACGAAGCCGAACCAGAACGCCATAGCGAATGGATTCCGAACCGCCGCCAGACCGGCGACACGCCCCCCCCCCCCCCGGTCCCCCGTGTGGAGAGTCTGGTGAGAGGAATCTTCGACTTCTCGAAGAGTGAGGAGTAGAAGGAGGTGGAGGAGGCGGAGGAAGAGGAGGAGGAGGGGAGGAGGAAGAGGAGCATGACGAGCAGGAGGAGATGGAAGGGTTGAGGGGGAAGGGGGATGATGACGATGATGATGATGATGACGATGACGATGACGATGACGATGATGATGATGATGATGATGATGATGATGATGATTTTTTCCTCGGCATCAGGACCAATAAAGAGCCAACACAGCGTAGTGAAGGAAAACAAGTATTGTGGTCCGCCGCAGAGAGCCGTGTCTCTCGCATGTCCCCGCTCTGGGGCCACGTGTCGGGGGTGCTGGCACAGGGATGCTGCGCTGCGCTGCCACGATACGAACGAACGGGAGTTCTATCGCCTCTGAATAAGGAAGCCTATGCTCGGTGGCCGTATCGAATTTCGGGACCATAGGAGGAGGAGGAAGGTGGGGAGGACGGAGGGCGGGATCTGAACACACGGTCCTCGGGCCTCAGGGGGTCCAGCGCGGGCCTCACCTCGATGATGCGGCTCTCGGCGAGCAGCGTTTCGATGATGGCCTGGACCAGGAACTGATGCTCCAAGAGTTGGTCTTCAGTCTGGATGCTGTCCTCAATGTGCTCCATGTACCAAATGATGAGATCGATTTCCTGGACCTCCACGTCGGTCGCGGACTGCTGCTCGAGATACCGAATGAGCAAGTGGCTGATCACCTCGACTGAATCCCCTACGGCCTCGTCCACCTTCGCAGTCTCCTTTACGACCTTCGAGATCTGCACCTGCGGCGCCTCGACTGGTGTCTCTTCGACGTCCATCTCGATATCCTTGGTGATAGCCTGGACCTCCGTCATGGGCACCTGCTTCACGACCTGGGACTGGGCGAAGGGCCCGTCCGCCACGTGAGGCACCTCTACGAACTTGTCCGCCGTGTGCACTTCAGGCGTGGCGACGTGCTTACCGCTCTCGACTGTCCGAATTTCCTCCTTCGCGTTCTCCTGGAAAGCGTCCTGGGTCTCCGCCTGGGGCACCTGCTTCACGACCTGGAGCTGGACAAAAGGCTCCTCCACCACGTAGGGCACCTCGTCGAGCTTGTCCACCGTCCGGGTTTCCTCATTCGCGTTCTCCTTGATGGCAGCCGGGGTCTCCACCTTTGGCACCTGCTCGTCGTCGAACCCCGGCGGTGGGAGAAGAGCCGCAGCGAGTCCGTGTTGAAGACCACGATGAAACACACGGAGGTCGCGTCGACGGCGACGGGCCTGAGCGCGAGAGCGCCTGTCGCTGACCACATGGCCAGGGGCGCCAGTCGTCGAACTCATTTTCCCTGTTCGTCAGGCGCGCGGAGCTCTCGACCTGGAGCACCCGCGCGACATAGCGGCCGCGAGAGAGCGGGGTGTAGCCCGTAGGCCCCCCGCCTATGGGAAGGCAGGAGGATGTGCGAGGCAGAGGTCGCTGTGCCACAATGATTTGAGCGCATGGCGACCTTTGATGATGATGATGATGATGATGATGATGATGATGATGATGATGATGATGATGATGATGATGATGATGATGGTACTCATGATGATGATGATGATGATAATTAGGAGGAGGAGGCGGAGGAGGAGGAGGTAGGGCCCTCGAACGGAACGCTGTCGGGAAACTATTCCAAACCATCGGACACCGCACGAGAATCTGTTTCGTTTCCCCCTCCTCCCGCCCCGTGTGGCGCCTCCCCCTCGTCATCGTCCTCCTCTTCGTCCGTCTCCTCGTCCTCCTTCGCGTCCTCCTCGCCATTCTGTTCCCCAACTCCTCCTTTTCCTCCTCCTCCTCCTCCTCCTCCTCCTCCTCCTCCTCCTCCTCCTCCTCCTCCGCCGCCTCCTTCCCCCCCACCTCATCTCCATCCCGCATCTTCTCTTCATGCACCCGCTCTGCCTCCTGGTTGGGCCGAGCCGATGTTTCTCGGCGCACTCGCCGCCTCTGCCAGCATGCACGCTTTCCCCGATGGCCAGCTCGCGAAGCCGCTGGGCAACCCCGCGGGCCAGGCCGCTGGGACAACCCCGTGGGCCGCTGGGGCGCCGGAGCAAGCCGTCGGGACAACCCCGCGGGCCTCGAGCTGGGTGCCGCCAGATCGTGAAGCCGCTGGGACAGCCCCGCGAGCCAGGCCGTTGGGACAACCCCGTGGGCCGCTGGGGCGCAGAAGCAAGCCGTCGGGACAACCCCGCAGGCGTCGAGTTGGGCACCGCCGCGCTCTCTGCTGTGCTCTGCTGCTCTTTGCTGGTCCCTGCTGTTCGCATCCGCTCTCTGCTGCTGTCTGCTGGTCAGAGGTGTCCTCGGAGAGTCTCTGCTGCTCTCTGTTGCTCTCTGGTGCTGTCTGCTGCTCTCTGTTCCTGAGTCCAGTCGGCTGCTCTCTGCTGGCATACGCTGCTTTCTGCGCTTCTCTGGTGCTCTGAGCTGGTCTCTGCTGCTCTCTGCTGATCTGTGCTGCTCTCTGGTGCTGCCTGCTGCTCTCGGCTGCTCTGTGCCGCGCTCTGCTACTCTCTGCTGCTGTCTGCTGGTCTCGGCTGGTCTACGCTGGTCTCTGCTGGCCACTGCCGCTCTCTGGTGCTCTCTGTTGCCCTCTGCCAGTCATTGCTGGTAATTGCGGGTCGGTGCTGCTCTCTGCAGGTCTATGCTGCTCTCTGCTGCTGCACGCTACTCACTGCTGGTCTCTGCTGGTCTCTGCTGCCGTCTGCTGCTGTTTGCGGCCATCTGCTGTTGTCTGCTGTTGTCGTCTGGTCTCTGCTAGTATCTGCGGCTCTCTGCTACTCTCTGCCGCGCTCTGCTGCTGTCGGCTGCTCTCTGCTGCTGTTTGCTGTTCCCGGTTGCCCTATGCTGCTCTCTGCTGCTCCCTGCTGGTCTCTGCTGCGTAGACTGATCGCTGCTGGTCTCTGTTGGTCCGTGCCGGCCTCTGTTGGTCTCTGCCGTTCTCTTCTGCTCTCCGCTGCTCTCTGGTATAATATTCCAATGGCCCGCTCAAATTGCAAATGCGAAGCGCGTGAGAAATGGGGAAGGAGGCCCCCGCTTCAGACATGAGACACCCTCAGGATTTGCCCCCACAGAGACACCCTCAGGATTTGCCCCCTTCGGGTGCTTAAGTGCTGCGCCTCGTGGAATATCCCGATGGCCCGCTCAGATTGCCAACATAAGGTGCAGGCCCCATCGAAAGAGGGGGGTTGGCTCGAAACATCCTCACGATGTGCCCCACCGGAGACTTCATCGCGATTCACTCACAGACGAGGCCCTCGCTCGAGACATCCTCACGATTTGCCCCCTTGGAGTGCTCAAGTGCTATGCCTGGTAGAATACGCCGATATGACCAATACCAAGCGCGGGACTACTAGGGAGTCGGCTCCCACCTGATACTTCATCGCAACCACTCACAAACGAGGCCCCCCGCTCGAGACATCCTCACGATTTGCCCCCTTGGGGTGCTCAAAAGGTACGCCTTGTAGAATATTCTGGTGACCCACTCGGATCCCGCCAGCCCCCTGGGCTTAGGTGGTATAGCGCGTTTTTTCTTCTCTCTTCCACTGAACCCCCTCCCCCTACCCCCTCCCCTGGGCCAGGAAGGGGGGGGTACCGAAACGCTAGAGCGGAGCGTCCAAGATGGCCCAAGATTGCTCCAAGAGGGCTTCGAAGTCGCAAGACGGCCTCCAAGATGGCCCATGCTACTTCAAGATGGGTCAATATAGCCTCCGACATACCCCCAAGAGGCCCCAAGACAGCCCCAAAACGGATCCAAGTGCCCTTCGAGCCCTCCACGGCGCCCTCCAAAATGCCAAAACCGTTCAAAAGCCAATGGAAAATCAATGTGTTTGGCATTCTCGCCTTTTCGCTTCCGGCTTCCGATGGGCTGTGGAAGCCTCAAGATGGCCCCAAGATGGCCCAAAAGAGGCCCAAGAAGGCCGAAGACGGCCCCAAGATCGCCCAAGAGGCGCCCAAGAACGCTCCAAGAGGGCCCCATGATGCCGTTTGAGAGCCTCCGAGGGGGGGGGCGAATTCCCCCCCCCCCACCCCCTCTGTTTGAGCCATGGTGCCCAAGACGGCCCCAAGAGGCCTCCCAGACCCCCCAGAGAGCCCCAAGAGGGCTCCAAGACTCCCCTAAAAGATCCTCAAGAGGGCCCCAAGAAGGCCTCAAGACAGCCTCAAGATGGCCCAAGATAGCCGAGCATGGCTCAAGATAGCCTCCAACAGCCTCTAGTCGAGCATGGCTCAAGATAGCCTCCAAAGAGGCCTCAAGAAAGCTGGCAATCAATTCTGGATTGGCTGGTGGGGATGCCTTTTTTTTTACAGCCGCGGGCGGAAGCGCCAGCGGTGGCGAGTAACGGTCGGGCTGCGGCCGGAACTAATTGGCCGGGCGCGCGCGCGGGCCGCGGCCGGCGCCGGGGCGGCGGGTGCAAGGGCGCTGCAACCCAGGGTGTCTGACGCCCAAGGACCTGCACCCAGGGAGTCGGTAACGACGCTGCCAAAATGGCGCGATGCAAATAACCCCAAAGTGTCAAAGACCATGGCCAAGCAGTACGCCGCTTGGGTACACGATCTGAACCCTAGGGAGTCTGCAAACCTCGGCGCAGCGAATGGCGTACCATAGGGTCCCAGGGTGTCTGAACCATGCTCAAGCAGAAGCGTCCGAGAGACGCGCAAGCTGTCGCCTGACTGCATGCCGTAGGGAGAGGTTGGACTCTGACAGCGCCAGCGAACCGTCGCAGCTTCAGAGTACGCACCAACGCAGCCAAAATGGCACGTCAGGGCCGGGAACGTAGTGGTACGTCCCCGAGGCAGGGCCAAAATGGCACGTCAGGGCCAAAATGGCACGTCAGGGCCAAAGAGTGGTGTCTGTAACCGAACAGGGCACGTCAGGCCCGGGAAGACAACCTCGAACAGAGATGCGTTCGCAAGCGAGCCATCAGGTAACATGATGTGACGCTATGCGGAAGGTACAACTGTCCCAATCTTCTACCAGGCACAAGTCGCAGGCGACTAGCAACCAAATATAAGACCAGGAACGCGTACCAGGGAGCATCTAACGTGACAAGCATATACAGAGCCACGCCTATCTTTGGTACCCTGGCGTACCAGAGTGAAGTGTAAGAAGATGGCGCTCTGGGAAAGCTGTGCTGCCGCTTACCAGCTGCAGCCGAAGCAACAGCCAGCGGTCACGAAGAAGCCCAGGGAGCTAAGGGCCGCTCACCCAGGTAGAGCGGGGGAGCGACGATGGGATGATGCCAGTCTGGGCAACAGGAACTGGCGGCCAACAGAGGAAGCAGGCGTACGCACTAGGCACAAATATAGGCTCAGTCCGCTGACCACCCGCGGCAACACTGTGGCCGGTGCGCGCAAGTGGGTGCGCAACTGCGTCCCTGCGTCCGGGCGCGGCAACAACGTCCTTACGGGTGGGCACACCACGCCGCCGTGCCGGAGGCGCACCTCAACGGCTCAGAAGTGCACCATCTGGTCATGCGTTCGAAACCCGCTGTCGGGACGCCACCCGCCCAAGGTCGCTCCCAGGGAATAGCAGAGAAGAGCAGCTGAAGGCCGCTGTACCTTAAAGAAACCCAGGGAGTGAGAGTGCGGTTCTGGGCAGTGACGAGGCGAAGCCATCTTTGCGTCGGTCACAAAGCCGCGAGGCCGGGGGGCGAAGTCCGACAGGGCCAGAAGTGAAAACAACTACAGCGGGGCCAGGGGCCAACTACGGCCTGCACGCAACACGCCCCAGCGCAGTCATGCAGACGGTATTGCTGGTAAACACACTTGGGTCCAAAGGCAGGAAGTACGTGTACCAGGGAGGGCGGCCGAAGGCCGCCACACGAGTATATGAAACGTAACCCAGGGAGGCAGCTGAAGGCTGCACAGAGTGTGGAAATCGGACGCTGCACCTGAATCTCTTGGGGATGGGGGGGCTCAGTCGCCCCACCGTTGTCTCTTCTCGCCGCGATCGTCTGGCCTGCCGCCACCGCGCTTGCCTCCTGACTGCCGCTGGTCGTCGTGCCAGCCAGAGCTCCAGCCACTCTGCCAGTTGTCCCAGGCGCCCCAGGAGCTCCCAGCCCGGTCATACCAGCTGCTCTGCTGGTGGCTGCCCTTGCCCGTGCCGTCGGTCCTGGTGCGGCGCATGTATTCGGACCGTGCCGTTGCCCGTGGATGCGGAAGTTATACTTCTTGTCCATCGCGTAGGCATCGTATCCACAGCGCTTCCAACCATCCAAGAACTTGTTGATGTTCTCGTCCGTGTGCAGCTTCGGGTCTGACTTGGGATCCTTGCACCCAGGGATCCGGATGCCTTTTGTGTAGGCCGACCAAAGGGCGCAGAATACTCCACCCAAGTCCACTTGGTGTCTGGTGATGCGCTGGGCGGGCGTATCTCCGCGGCGCTCCAAGTCCACGGAGCCCAGCCAGGCCTTGTACATGCGGCCTCTGTGGGCGTCGGTCAGCTGGTTGAGAGCGCGTCGTCCCGCT